CAGAGGAATGTGAAAACTTCTTCTAGTGTCAAACTCTGCTCATACATCATTTTGCACAGTGAAGCTGTGAAGCAAACATCCAGCTGTAAGTGCTAGAAGAAAACCCTATTTTTGAGTGAATGGGGTATTTAAGCATTCCACTTATTTCCAGAGAAGATGTATTAGAACTGGTCCTTGGCACTCCCAACACACACTGCAGTGCACAACCCCCCCACCTCCATCAGTACTATCAATGACAGCTGAACTTGGAGAAAGTTTCAACTATCTAGTATTGACTCAGGCTGGACAATAAACCCAGCATTGATCAATATCTGTGATATCTACACAAGCTGCCAGCAGAGTCTCTGTTATCTGTAAACCCCAACGCTCTATTCTGTTCCTCACCTTCTGTTGCTGCAGTGAAAAAGCAGAATCCATAAGACCACACTGTTCCATGTGTTTTTCTACATGTTCACTTTCTCCAGCAACAACAAATTCACCTACATATCACGCAGTTCAAACACTGCCTTTAAAATCATTGGCCTCCCAACCCCCAGTCTCTCACATTTCAATGACAAAGCCATCACACGCATTTTACAGATCATAGCGCATGACCCTGGGCACACCCTCAATCCATTTATCAAACTGCTCCCATATGGATGCAGTTATAGTAATGTAAAGTGGAAAAGAGAACACTGTACTGTAGTAGGAGTCTTGTCCCCTCTGCCACACACAACACTAAACACTCTGTGAATACATCTATGTATGTCTATTTTTATATCTGTATGGCTACAGTCTCAACTATAGACTCAATTTATCTGAGTACATGTTTGTTTTTGTATGGATGTATCTTGGTCTTGAGTGAGTAGACATACCTTGGATGGAATAAAGACTAATATTTGCACTGCAGAGATAGTATCATCTACATTACCTGGTGGAACTCCCTCTGGTGCTGGACGGCCCCCACGTCGCCTCCTATGGGCAGCTGTTCCGACAGCTCCTCGTCCTTGGCTGTCAGCCATTCTATGATCTCCTGCAGAGAAAGTTGAAGCTTCCCGCTGTTGTCTGAGAAGGCCTCTAGCCGCACCCTGCCAACACATGCACACAAGTTAGTTTAGCAAACAGTAACATTTTCCTGCTGCAGGTGAAATTTGGTCACTACCACCCATTAGCCAGAATGTCAACACAGTATTAGCTTTGTTAACATCAAAAGATGTCAAATAAATAAGATTTAAACCTTCAATTGAGAGCCAATAATCATACATAGGTTGTCAGCGACCTGTTTGGAAAGTGGAATGAAAAACAAACTTAACACAATTTATGTCCTCTTTCATTTGGGAACTATATCAAGTTGCAAATGTCTTCACGTCAAACTGTCAGAATAAACATTTGAAAGGGCCTTGGAAAGCTTGCTTTGAAAAGGTCAGTGCTTTGCTGTTGAGCGAGTTATGTAGTAGACAAATAGCTTGAAATCTGTCACGCTGTGCTGAACATGTCACTCTGGACGTTGCTGTATCTGAATGCTGTGCTGTGTCATCAATGAGTTTTGAACAAGTATAAAGCGTGTGCATGGGGTTGTAGTAAGCCAGATACTCGGGCTCTAAAGCGTTTGGAGATGTCCTTTTCTTAACATTTTAAAACCAAAAAGTTTGGTAACAAATTGGTAAAAAATGTAAGGAACATATTAAACAGTGGGTTTGTCTGCTTTAACTGAAACAGCAGAAATAAAGATGTTTACAGCCTGGTACAAAAAACACATATATTTAATGCTATATTCCCTGTTCTTAATGACTGTATGGGGATTGAATTTTTATAAAACTCACCGGTTTAAATTATATTGACACTTTAAGTTATGAATAATTAAGTGCATGACTGCTTTGAGTGACAGGTGGCTGTTTTCATCAACCAGGCTTCATTCAGCCCGCCTCACTTCACCCACACTCCACATCTTTGTCCATTATTGGATTAGCCGGGAGCCGTCAGAGAACAGCTCTTCAGAAACCTATAGGTGACTCAGGCTCAGTACTTTAGCATAATCATGTAGCCATCAAGACCATATTTAAGACCCTTTTCCATGGTTCTTATTTTTAAAATTAGCCAGTCAAAAATAGCACTTCATGGAGATAATTTTAGCTAAATACATACAAATCTGACAGGTCGCTTTTGTGTTCCTCTGTCTAAAATCAAATAAAATCAAATCCATTACTAAGAATTGTGATGGTAAATCTGCCACCGTTATGATTATATGTTATTGGTTTATTGTATATTATATGTGCTGAGCAAGAACAAAAAGTTTTGGTGACATACGAGCCAAACCACGTATTATATTATCCAAAAACTTGGAGAAAAAAAAATTTCGTAATACAGGACACTATATAGTATAGCTACCTTCCGTGTTAAATCACAATGTCCCAGCAAAACAAACAGATAGTCCGTATGTCATGGCACAAGAGATGAGAGAAACTGAGTCACAGGTAACTGTTGCAGCAGGTTTGTTGGAGTAAATCAGGAACAAATAACAGAAAGAATTTATCTGCTTGCCACCTGCCAGCAGCATGAGAGATGTCTAAGGGAACCACTGCTCTTGTATCAGTGGCACAGCTGGCACTAAAGGGCAGTGTGAAAGCATCCCAGTGTTTCAATTACACACCAGAAGCCAGCACTCAAACATCATTATTCCTGCACATCACAATTTGCCAGCACTGTCACATCAGACATGATGAGTAGGAGCGAGAGAAAGAGTCAGACAGAGAAACAGACAGTCTAAGTGTCACTGCTCACGACTATGGGGGAGGGAACATTGCAAAAAAACTTAATTGGACTGATATTCAGATGAAAGCCAAAGGGAAGTCAGAGGAACACTTTAAGATTTCTAAGTCTAATTCTGTAGTCAAACAGAGTAAATCACAATGATGCAATTCTGCAAAACATATGGTTAACATATAGTATGCACCCGCACCATTAGAATTCCAATAGCAATGCCACGTTAGCAACTGAAAAGGAACTGTAAGGCAATTTCCTACAACCTGAATTTGGGACAGATGAGTTCTGACACATGAGGGATTGGGTATCACTTCAGGGGTGCTGGCTGAATGCAGACATGTGGGAAAAGCTTTGAGACGTTACGGGGAAAAAGACGGAAAGGTGAAATCAAGCTTGTAAGTGCACATTTCAGAATTGATAGGCCTCTTTGTTCAGCCCTATGTCAGGAAACTTGTGTGAAGCAGACCATGCTGTCCCCTAACCCTCTTGTTGCCCCTCCAGCTCAGCTTGTTGTGGAAATTGAATCCGAGAGGAACTGTTTTTCCGTGGCCCCTGCAGAACAGGCTCTTCATAACAGGCGTGAATACACACATATAAATACAACATACACACACACAGTGAAGAGAGAGGGGTTTCTGACTCAAATCACAGCGAACCCTGGCCTCGGATACATCCAAGTAAGGTCATCCATCAAAGGATGACCCTGGCACTTTTGCAGAGAAGTTTCAAAAACGCTTCAAACCACAAAGGAGACCTTCGATTCACACACTGATAAAGAAAAACATGCACAAACAAACACACACACAAACACACAGCTCACAGTACACTCTCCCATCACTGCTGCTTCCATTACACACAGAAGGTGAGACAAATAGAGCACTGCCAGTGCTGTAATGGAATCGCAGTCACATGGCCGGTGCTGCCAAGAACAGCTCTTACCCTGCTAAACTGTAGGGAGGCCAGGCTAAAGGTTTGCCAGTATAGGAGGCTGACTGATGCTATTCTATCTCCAGTGGAAATATCGTGATATCAATTTAAGTGCAATTTATGAGCCAAGGGCTGTATTAGATTAGAAGATGCCAGAGATTGTGTGTGTGTGTGTGT